ATTCTTTCATTCATTAAACTTTAAGTCAAACTGAGTTCGTACAAGACAAAGAGTCATAATATGACAAAGAAGATAAAACCGCAACCTACAAGCCTGGCGGTGATTTTTTAGAAGAAAAAAAAATGAACATCCAACTCTGACTAGCTCGAAAATCATCATATCCTCATTTGAGTCTTGAGTTTGGAAATTTCTTCGAAGACCTATGCTAGTTGAATACTACACCCCTTGAGATGAGCCTCTACTATGAGCCTCTAGGTCATTGCTCCTTCAAGTTGGGAGCCTCTGTCTAGAAGTTTCTTCTCAAATTATTTGACTTTGGCTTCAAATATCTTCTCTACTTCAGCCTTGTATACTCTGAGGATATCACAGTCCTGACATTTCTACTTGTACTTCTTTTCAATCTCAACAACAATTCTTTGATGATCTTCAATAGAAATAGAATCGCCTTCAACTCTTGACCTCTTTCTGGAAGTACTTGTACCCTCATACAATTTGGGCTTGTGAACTAACTCTTTATTCTCTTCCCTTAAGAAGTATAGCTTTATCTCCTTAGCTTCCATATCCATACGAAGGTGTTGATTCTCACTCTGCACTTGGTAGAAGCACTCTTTAGGAACATCATGATGCAACTTATCGGTCTGCGAGTATAAAGCCTCTTTCCTTGAGAACGGTAACATGATTGTTCTCTCTCTCTCTTTGACCCAATAAACAAATTGTCCAAAAGCTATCAACTATCTCTGTCCAAATAAATTTTTTCCCTTTCTAAAGACTTTAGTCTAGGAAATCTCTACCTTCTGTAGCATTTCAGGATCTTCTCCCTTTTTGGAAAATACAGACTCTCTGATTTCACTTCTTCTAGGTGTACTTCTCATAGCATACCCTAGCTAACATAAGGCGAGAATATGTGTAATACGATGGGTGAACTGACTTTTTGGTTTTATCCAAAATGTGTAGATAGCTAGAGTCTCCACCGACTTTTCTTTTATCTAACAAGGAAAGGGTGAAAAGAATAGGAAAGACCTTGATAGATTTTGAGTTCAGGTGGTATGTTATGAAAAGGGAAGGTGTTAGCACCATTTTCATCTGTAGTTATGTACGGGCTCATAATCGCCTAGCTCACTTCTTGAAAACTTGCTTTGTGTATGTGGTTTGAAAATATTTTTGAAAAGCAAAAGTATGGTTAACTTTGTAATGATTGAAAATGATTGAAAATATTTGTTGTTTTTGAAACTTTGATGTGAGAAAATGTTTTTTTTAGTAAAAAATTAAGAGTCCTACCCACTAAAGGTCGTTCTTATTCTTTTACTTCTCCTTTAGAGATAATATTATTCATAACATTAGTTGGTAGGTATCCCTATCTATTGTATGTGAAGGGACAGACGAAGGGTCATCGACTGGTCATTGAAGGAAAAACGTAGAGATACTTTAGCAATTGTATCGGAAGGACTAGATCATTTTTTGTGGGAAACATCGAAGGGTCATCGAGGGACTATGATATTTATTTGAGGGTCTTTCTCTAAAGTATCCCTACTTTCGAGGTACATAAACATGTATTCATAAGGAAACAATAGAGGTTACCCTAAAGGTGCAAGTGTGCAAAGTGTGTTAGTTTCAATTATTTTAGTCTTGAAAATTAGAGTTTTGCTATGATTGTTTTTTAATATTGCCATACAAACCCTATTTACTAGCAGTTTTATAAAATATAATGCAGAATGTAAAGTGTGGAATGTAAACATAAGCAATTTTATAGTCACTTTTCCGGATATTTTTTCGTATTTCCTCCATCTCTTGCTTTAAGGAATTTTCAGTAGCTTCTTTCGGTGCCTCAGTCTGGGAAGGTTCAGTCATATGTTCTCTTCCCCGAGGCTCAGTAGTTGACTCAGTAATAAGGATACACAGTGGTGTAATAACAACATTTGGAGAGATTTCTGGAGAGAAAACCCTTCCTTTTCTAGTAACCTTACTAGTCCCAACAATATTTCCAATATTGGGATTAGTAACTTCAATATTTTTATCTCTAACAACAATAGTTTTTGCTTGACGCCATGGTAGTAGACATCAACTCTATAATTCCAAGGGATAGCCTTGTCAGAGGAGTATGGAATTGGACCTGGCGCGTTAATGATCAGAGGAGCCACCCTAGGCTCGGCAATAATCCTCACAGGACCTTTGGAAGTGATCCTCATAGGAGTATCGAGAATTTTAATTACATACATGTCTTCAAGCTTTAGGTCTTGAAACAAATTATCCACAAAAGCAGACTTCTCAAATAGAAATACGGTTATCCATCAGTCGCTGAACACCTTCCTTCAACAATTTTAAACGCAACCCGGAAATAAACTGGGTTGCAACAACTTCTTCTTAACGATCATCAGAGGACTAGTTAAGTCACTTATAAAAGAAACATAAGAAACATAGTCAATAGCATTAACACCTTTGTCATGGTTAGACATAGGTGCAGTGATCACATTATGAGTCTCAGGAGGATCAAATTCAATTTCCTTAGTGCCAATCATGTCTTGAATTTTATTCTTCAGAGCCCAGCAATTGTTAGTGTCATGTCCGGGACTATTGTAATGATAAGCACATCTTACATTAGGATTGTACCAGAGAGAGGAAGTTCTGGGATTCTGAGGGGGTTCTCTCAATGTAATCAACTCTGCCTTCAACAAGTGTTGCAAAGCTTGAGATAAAAGCATGTTGATTATGGTGAACTGTTTCCCCGGTGCATCCAGCCTAGGTTGATTGCCTTGTTGTTGTTTTTGCACTGGAGCGGGATTAGATATCAGCATTGTCCCCACAGATTGGTTGTGGTCACTCTTATTACGACCCTTATGTTCGTACATAACATTAGTTTCTTTCTTTTTGTTGAATGACTTCTTCAGAGTAATTGAAGATGCAGCCACCTGAATTTTTCGGCTTCTGATTCCACCTTTAACATGTTCCCCTATTAATATTAATTCGATGAACCCGGCTGAAGAGTTTCCAATTAGATGATTGAAGAAAGGACCTGTCAAAGTTCCCATAACCATGTCAACCAATTCCCTATCATATAAGGGAGGTTGAACTCTTCTTGCTAGATCTCTCCATTTCTGAGCATACTCTTTAAAGCCTTTGTTAGAGCCCATGGTAATACTCTGTAGTTGCATACGAGTTAGTGCAAGATCAGCATTATATTGGTACTGTTTATTAAAATCAGTAGCCAAATCTTCCCAGGTACAAATATTGGTCCCTTCTAATTTATAGAACTATTCCAACTGTATTCCAGGCAGGCTCTCTTGAAAGAAATGCACCCATAACTTTCTGTCAGCAATGTGTGGTTGAATCTTTCGGACATATGACCTCAAATGAAGCTTTGGGCAAGAAACATCGTCATATTTTGTAAAAGTGGGGACTTTGAAATTGTGAGGGATGACAACTCCTGAGACTAAAACCAGATCCTTAAAATTCAACCCAGACACTTTCTGGATCTCTAGAGCATATAGACGATCTTATAGCTACTTGTATTTCTCCTTAGTAGGAGGATATTATTCATCTGAATAATCTTCTTCCTCTTCATTAGGAATCTTGTCAGAACCAATGTTGCTTCCTCTCTCAGATTTAACACTTTTACCATCTTCCTCTTGATTGTCATCTCCATCCAATGGGATATCAAAATCTTGGGCTCGCTTGGCTGTACCTCTGAACCATCTTCCCATGTTAAGGATGTCAACTAATTTCTTTTTATTTTTCTTCTTTTCTTTGACGATGAGTGCCTTCAGTTCTTCTTTCCCCTTAGCTAAGTTCAGGAGCGTCTATTGGAATTGAGCATTCTGAGCCTGGAGATCTTTGATTGTCTGTTCAAGAGCCATTTTTCTGCTAAAATAAACAGAAAGAAAATGAGAAAACCTATCTTTGGAATACATGTTATGTAATGATATGCATGACATTTAGATGCATATGCAATATTTTCAAGGATCTTGTGGGATTAAAAAAATTTGAAATTTGAATCTGGTTGCAGCCTTTTTTAAAGAACTTTGCGTCTTTGTTTTTGAACGTTGTTCTATAAGAATCAAGCTCACCATATCAAGTAGGTCCTAGCTTATGACTCAAGATAATGTACTTCGATCTTTGATGGCATCTAGTTAGAGGAATATAAATCCTCTCGCCCCTTTCTAGTAATCTGGCTTATGATAATCCTGCACCAAAAGGTCCCTAAGATGCTTGAAATGGTCAGTAAAAATGTTATGTCATGATGATATGATGTTATGATGTCATGTTTAAACAAAGCAAACACAAACAAAACATACAAGAGCCTTAGGTTTCGAATCAAATCTGCACAGGTGAATTCATTCATATCTTAAATATTTCGACAAGGCTTAATTGTTGCTAATATAATTTTTATTATAAAATCAAATCCGCACAAGTGAATTCATTCATATCTTAAATATTTCGATAAGGCTTAATTGTTTCTAATATAATTGTTATTATAAAATCACTAATAACTAAAATTATTTAAAAATAAATATGTAAAAAAACATCAACATGATAAATTCAATATCTACCATATAAGAAAATCTTAGGTTGTGGTTAACTCCTTAATACCACTTAACCCCCTCTTGACACCTATTGCAAATCGGTACATTTTGTGTCTTTTTCTACCCTTGTGGTAAATATGGAACGTCTAATTACATGTGCAACCAGAAAACATTTAAGAAGCTTGTGTGTTTTCACTTCAAAGGAAACATTCCAAGTACACTTTGATACTGTTTCAACTGAATGCTTCTCACAACTCTTTCCAACCATGCCTAATAGTTGTATCCCTTAACTTCACTTCCACCTGCTTCTATTGATCCCAAAGCTACTTTCCTCTTGTGACAAAACATCTTCTTCTCACAAAACATATTCTTATTAGAAATCATCATACTATACCAAAACTTCTTCTTCTCACAAAACTTCTTCATCTCACAAAAAAGCTTCCTCTCATAAACTAATAACCTGGAACGACGATACCTTGTGAGATGATCAGCGACATAAATGACTGCAAGGAGTTGTGGAAGAATGATGTCAAGATTCATCTCAAATGGAAGGTCACGGCGGCCTCGAAGGAGCATTTCGATATGGTTGTCTATGACAAACAGGTGAGTAAGAAATATTGGAACCATGATTTCCGACATATTATTGTAAATATATATATTCCCACCCATGTATCGCTTTAAACACGATTTCGATGATTTACATTCCATAGTGCGGATGTTTTTGTCTACGGTATGATTTTCAGTCATCTAGTGTTGTCTATAATGATTCTTGTGTTTTGTTGTGATTTATGCTTGATGTTTAGTTTTTACCTTCTAATAAGATTTTTGTTGGTTGGTCAACACTAATGGTTTATAAATGATGTTAAATCTTCAGGGCCATGACATAGATATAGTTGTTGCAAATATCTTCAAGAAAAATTTTAATTCAATTTTGTCAGAGTTAACGAGACTTGCACGATGTCTAACTTTCAAATTCAGCCCAATGATTTGATGTTCAAACCAACAAATCACAAGTTTATCTTGAAATTCATAGGTGGTACAACTGTAGGAGATATTGGCAAGCACGAAATTGACAATAAGCCTAGAAGCTTAACCCCTTTGGCTGATGTAATATCTTGGAAATGGAAAAGGAATTATCTTTTTGGTATTTTCGTTAATCCCTCATCAACCTATTTTTGGTTTATGTTGTGAATGTTTATGTATATTCCCATGATTCTATTATTTTCTATAGATGTTATTGGTGTCGTTGACGAGGTATGCTACACACAATCACACACAGGAGGGAAAAAACCTCAAGTTAACTTGGAGTTGTGCGATTTGGGGTAGGTCTCATACCAACCTGATTTGATATCTCTATATTCCCCAAGTACTTTTGTTAGAGTATCATTTTTTTACAATCACTAATTACCAACTTTGATTGGTTAGTGACAACACTTTAAATTGCACATTATGGGAAGCGTATGCAATGTAGTTCTTAGAGTACAAAAAAAAATAGGTTGATACCACCAAACTAAAAATTACGATTCTCAGATATGCTAAAGTGAAGGAACAAGGTTCATTAAAACCTACAATTTTTAATTTTATCCTTCTATTAAATCAACTGATTCCCTTGCGTTTTTATGCATCTTTGAATTTAAATATGCATATTGTAGGAAAATTTCCAATTGCGGGGAAAACACCTATAACGTCACAAAACTCCAAATCAACAAAGACATAACCGACATCAATGAATTTTTAAAAAAGGTAAACACCCAGTTATATGAAATCTAATAGTTTATATTGTCCTAATTAATTGGTTATTTATGTTGCATTTGACATTTTCTAAAATTGTACACGTATAGGTTGCCAAAGGATTCTAGCATTGGGAAGTCATTGACAACCACAAGCTGCAACAACTGAGGTTGGTCACAAAAATCTCTCAGTTCTCATATGTCTATGAAGGAGAAGTTTTTAGATAAATATATTCAGATTAAACTTAATGAGATAAGCCGATTGGCGGAGGTAGTTTACATTCCTTGTAATTTTTTTCAATACCTTTCTTTTAACCGTTGACTGCATAACATGACCGGTTTTGTCATTTACGTGCAACCTACGTTTTGTGTAATTGTTGCTACAATAGATAAGCTTTTAGGATCGGATAATGATTGGTGCTACACTTCATGCCACCAATGTCCTCAGGTTGCTAAAGTCGGGAGACCTCTTTTTTTTATGTCGGGCTGGACACCGTACATAAGCGGAAATTTGGAGGTGGGGCATTACCTTTATTTGTAGTTTAATGATTTTTTTCGAAACCGTTTTATTGATGACCTTTAGTTTTGTGGTTGTGTTATAGGTTTAAGATTTTCTTTGAAGTTGTTCATAAAGGGAACACTGCAAAATTTGTTTTCTGGGATCGGGAGGTGGCCGAGCTGTTGGATACTACTTGCGCAAAAATGTGAGCAACCATGATACAAATTTGTGTAAATTGCTTGATATGTTTATATTGATTTGTTGTTTACCTTAATGTTGTGCCAAATCCAACTTATTACCACCTTCATTAATAATTGAAATTCAGGATGGAATAATAGACCCACTTGAGTTTCCACTTTCCCTTGATGCAATGTTTGGCCAAAAGTTTGCGTTTAAGGTAAAGTGGGACCCAAAATGGAAAATATCCTCCTTCGTACAGTTTATTAAGGATAATCAGCTCATCACTATGCTTGAAGTACCTAGAGTCATAAATCAGGTAACCATAGTCTTATTCATTTATGACAATGAAATGTAATGTTCAACATTGTCTGTTTAGGAACTAATGTTGTAATCTCCTACCAAAATTCCCCTGTCATTCTAGAAAACTCAGTTACAACAGAAGTTATTTTATATCAATCAATTTCCTTGTGTTTTTTCTCTATGATTTCCATCAATTGCTTTATTACTAATGTTGGTATGGAATGATAGCAAATCCCCCTTAAGCAAGATACTTCTACTACCATGCAGGTTCTTTTGATTTATTTGAGTTTCTTGTGTTATGCTTTTTATCCATTCCATATCTTAATTGTTTCTTAAGAGACATTACTAATTAATCACAAACTTTAAATTCAAATAAGCCCTTTGTAACAGATCTTGGAGAGTGTTGGCGAGGAAATTAAATTTGAACAACTCAATTTCGTTGCGGTACTTCTTTATCTCATCTATTCTATTTTCTATTCTACATAATTTGCCAACCTTGGTCACCATCTAATTTCAAAACATTGCAGGAAGGTGAAATTACATTTCCCCACGTTCCTGATCCTGCTACCTCTAAAGCTAATGTGAAGAGGATGTCTCTAGACCGTCCTATCGATTCTTCTGTTCACCATAACAGCGAATGGGATCTATCTTCAACTAAAGTCAAGAAAATTACCAAACGGGGAAAGAAATCCACCGTATGATTCAGTTATTTCCCTAGATGTGTACCATCTTTTTGGGTCCTTGATTTTTTACAGCCCACTATCAAATACAGTTTAGAATGTAATGTATCTTCCTGGCCACTATGTATTCCCTTAGACACCATTGTGAACTAGATTTAACATCACAACAACATTTTGGGCTTTCTTTTGGATGCTTAATGCTATAATTTAGTTATCGTTAACACGTTTTATGTATAAATCTAATGTAATATGTCTAACATTTTCTGCAATCTACTATTGGAATCCATGTAATATATTATTGGCCAGTTTTCTCAATTTGTAAATATCGTGTGCAGTCTGTAACAACCTCATTTTTCGTTTTTCCTATTTTTTAATGGTTAACACTGACCTATCACTATCCTAATAAATGAGGGATGGACCTGCTATGATTAGTTAAGCCTTCTAAATATCATGCAGTTTAACAAACTATTTATGTGCCACAAAAATTCAATTCAAATCACATATTCTACTTTTTTTCAAACTATTCTTTAACAAAACTGGCTTTGCGTTAAACATAGATCTATGACTTTTAAGTTCTGTAATAGGTGATGCTTATACAGAATACCATAAGATAAGGATCTTAAATAATATAAGTTAACAAACTTACTTAGAAACCACTGGACAATTAACATATGCATAACTACTTTGAATATTGTGCATGTAGAAATATGTCGATTCATGTCAGCCCACTTGACATCTCCTTTTGCTTCCTGCTATAACCGTTGCATTTAATGTTATTGTTTCATCACTGTAATTGGTTGCAAGTTATAATATATGCCTATCATTCATTATTTTACAATATTTAAACAAGTATCATAGTTGTATAAATTATTCAAATTATTTGAACTCTAATTTTGGCCACAAAGTTACCCGCCATACTTTTCAAACTATTTTTCATTTCATCTCAAATAGGACAAAGAAATACTCATTCTTACAGGGTTTCAATTTTTGCTCTCCTACTTATACGAATCATAGTGTACGATTCCTTTCTATTTACATGATATTTGATTCACTTCAAACATGGATACTCTAATTAAATATACCATAGTATCTATCCATGTACAACTATTATATTATATACCACATTTCATATCCCATAGTGTATGAAACAAATATTAGTAAATGCTTACATTCAGAGCTTATGTCAAGCACCTGTATCAAGTATGGGTGAAAAAACATTTAACAAGGATGGAAACAAATCAAGAAACATGCATCAAGTATATATGACAAAACATTTAACAAGGATGTAAAAACATCAAGAAACATGTATCAAGTATAGATGACAAAACATCTAACAAGGATGGAAAAACATAATGCAAAGATGAGATATAAAACATCATACAAAGAATGAGATGATAAAACATAAAGAATCATGTGTTAATATACGAGAATGAGAAATAAACAGAGCTATAATGATCCCTAACGGAGAAGGTCTATTGCCTCTTCAATGTGCACGAGATAAGAAAACTCTATCAAACACCTCCTTGAGCTTCCTCCATCAACCAATAATCAGGCATACCCGGGTTGCATCAACAATCGATCGCAAAACCATGGCAGAAGTATCAACAAAATAAATGGAATGCTTGGTGTATGGGAGTTGAATCGGGTTATGGTTAACCAGGGGATATACTTGATTAATCTCGTGAGAGTGGGTGCTCTCACCCTCAACTATGAGACCCGTTTGTGCATGAGACACTTGGTATATGGACCAAAATGATTGATTCATGTTATGATTAACCAAGGGAAAAACTTGATTAATCTCGTGAGAATGGTCATGCCCAAAATCAACCATTAGACCCTCTAGGAAAACTTGGTATATGGACCAAGAGATTAGAATTGGATTCAATTTTATTGAGATAAGGATATAAAAGTCCATTCAATGCACAAGATAAAGATCAAAAAGCCCATACAAGGTGGCTATATGTATGCTTCTAGAAAGTGGGACTAGCATGGCGCTAGTATTCTAAATGACCAATTAGAATAATCGATCGAATGTTTGTCACTGTAGAAAATCCAGGACCAAACTATGAATGTATGCAAGTGTACATTTGTAGGTGGATACTTTTTCATTGATGATGAGCCCAAGAGGAGGCCATGTGTTTTCATTGGATGATATATGCATAATTAAGCAAAAATTAAAATATACAAAGAAATAAAATTCTAAGCTATTACAAACCATATGGGAATGGGGGTACAAGTTTACGAATGAGGATGTGTCAAATTGAAAATCCGATTAAAAATCTAAATAAACAAACTATATAACCCAATCAAAATTGATTAAATAAATAACTAAATCGATTCATTCTATTTGATAAAAATTAATTAACAAAATAAGTAATGATATCAAATAATATTTTTCAATTTAATTTATTTAAAGTAAAAGTATTTTGTATTTTTATTTAATAAATAAAAATGGTTAAACAAACAATACAAAAAAATATAAAGGAAAAAAATGAAGTAAATGAGCCTGAAACGTAGTAAATCCAAGAGGTATCGAAAGCAGAAATTCCTAGGCCCAAACAGGAGGTCCGCAAGATGCTGCATGTGTAGTTCCAGGAAGGTCCACGGTTAGCTGCGCCATTTTGAGTGTTGCATCAGATATGTGAAGATCTGATGGTTGACAAGGTGCACAGTAAGGCGTCAGGGCGAGATGCATTGGAATAGATGAGGTATGTGTGATCCTATGTGAAGCTTCAGCGAATGTACACCATGGAAATCTTACTTCTGAGTGTTGGATCTGGAACTGATAAAGATCAGATGGTGATTGGGACGAGAGTGCATGGTACGCATGGACAGACGCCTACACAGAATCAGAAATTAACCACAAAGGTGATGACAATTTTCATCACCTGATTAACTCTTAAACAATGTCTTAAGTTAATTAAAAAAAACAAATAGAGAAGACTCATCTCTCTATGTCACTCCCTTCCTCGTTCTCCCTTTCTCTCTCTCACTGAGAGCTCGCTGGAGAAGATAAATCGCCGCGCCAAAAATTGTCTCACGACGGTGGCAACGGAGGCGATACGTGATCTTGCTTCGATCTTAAATTTTCTTTTACTATTATCTTCATCTCTTCCTCCTGAACACTAATTTGTGGTTTATTGTTGTAGAAAACGAATTATTTCGCGTAGGTCTGAAAGGGGGGAACTGAAAACCTAAATGTTCATATGCGAAGAAAATCAATGAGAATGATGTGAGATATTTGAATAGAAAATGAGAACAAAATGAAAAGGGGAGAGATTGGAGCCGAGGTGTCCGGATTTGAATGTTCTTCAACTCTTTTGATGCTTCTCCGGTATTATCCTTTTATCTCTGAGCTTATCTACATTCTCTCTTCTTATGAACTTTCAATTTATTGCGATAGCTTTTCCTCTTCTTCGTTCTCTAATCTGAAAGGTTTGTAGTTTAGGAAGATGATGATAGTTAGGGTTTGTGCTTGAAAGCTTCTTGCGGGTTTGTGATATTTGAGAAGGCAACTTGATTTCTGAAACACTTTTATGGTTTTTGGAGATGATTGAAGATAAAGGTTGCAATTTGAGAGTGAAAGTATAAATGAATCGTGAAGTTTAAGAGAGCAGGGAGTATTTTGTGGAGATTTTTTTGGTGATTCTTTAGAATGTGAAGAATGAATATGAACAATGTGAACTTTCTGTTTTATAGTTCTGTTACTCTGTTAGAAAAATAAATAGAGCTAAAATAGATCTTGGCCCTCAGATTGTGATTTTCTGTTAGGAGAATGAGTGGTTCAGATTAAGGCTTGAGTGAAACTTTCTCTTGAAGCTTTTGGTTAATTGCTGAGCTAGATATTCCGATTTTTATTTCACGTTTTTCTTTCTATTCCATCTTTATATTTTCTTGTTTCTGAATTGATGTGCTGGAAATGTGACTTCATACTCGCTTCCTTTTACTGCAATGTTATGTTGCTTTTTCATTGAAGTGTATGCACTAACTTCTTTTTTAACCTTACTGTCTGAATTTTTCTTTTGATGATTTGTAGTAAGATTATTTTGTTGCCCCATGATGAGATATACTTTTGATTTTTTTTACTCGCTTAACCATGATGTTATACTGGGCTTGAAAATGGGATTTTTGTACTGCGAACTATGATGAAATTTTGAGTTTATTCTTTTTGTGCCTCTTTTGTGAACCAAAATTAGTTTGTGATTTGAAATGGATGGGGTTAGGCCTAAGATTTAGTATTTAAATTATGATTATGTTGTGAAGCAAAAGTATGAGGCCCATTATAGGATTTGTGAATATGATTAAATTCAAAACACCCTAATTTTGATTCCTTCGCAAACCCTTATGATGAAACTTGAAGAGAAACTTATTTTTTTATGAAAAAATCTCTGCTCATGTTTAAGTGTTGATTATGTTCTAACGTTTCCTTTTTCTTGTTTCATGAACACGATGATTGAGCAAAATGGGCAAATGGCAAGGCTATGGCAAGAGGAGTCAGTGGTTCTAAGCATGAAGTTCTTGGAGGGAAATTCAAAAGAATAAGATGATTAAGATCTCACTAGAAAACTTAGGACAAGATGAGCAACCATTTGAGTTTTGTATTGTAAAGACTTGCATTGTAAAGACTTGGAAATTAAATGCTTGTATCAATACTTTAGAGAAAGTATGTAAGAGTCTTTTGCAAGAATTGTGTAAGCTTGCAATTTAAAAAATCCAAAATGGAATTTGTAATACAAACCTTTTGCCTAAGTGCTTGTAAAACAAGTTGAATCATGAATGAAAAATTTGAATGAGTTTGGCAATACTTTAATTTTTGAACTTAACATTCACAATTGTCATTTAAACTTGAATTCTTGAACAAATGCCAGCTTGATGGCCATATTGCAAGCAAAAAATTTTTTATCTCAACTTCCAAGGAAAAAACTCTGAATGAAAACCCAAGGAAAACTGCAGTAGTGAATTGTATAGAATTGAATGGAATTTCACTTGAATGCCTTGTGTGAAAACAATATGAAAATTTC